AGGTGCAGCATTTTTCACTATGAAAAATCCCTCAGGACTCACTTTCTCTAAGCCCCACTTAAAGCCCAGAGTTGGCTCTGAACCAGGACATCATGATCCTAACCACAGCTGTTTGATGAGTAAACGTGGAGAGCACTACTAAAAATGAAATAGAAGTTGAGTCTTTCTGCTAATTCACAGCAGAAAAGTGGTTTAGAATGGGTCAGAACCAAGCAGCACAGAGAGTATAATTAAAGCAAGACGGTAACACAGGCCTTTATTGTATTCTAATTTTCGGCTCAAAAATTTACATTTTGCTTAAATTCTTGTTAGTTTAAGGTCTAAAGGATAAAATAAAGCTTTTCTTCATGGAAAGGCTGCTTTTCTCCATTTCCACTTTCTTTTAAAGTACAGCTGGTCAATCACTAAACTAAGCTCATTTGAATGATGGCAAAGTCAAAATTATGACTGCCTGATTTTACCCTTCACTGCACTTGTCACAAAAATTAAATTAAAGATCACGCTTATGAATATAATGCATGAACTGCTGCATGGCATTCTGAAAGATAGAACGTCCCTCCTGTCCAGCCATTCACAAAACAGCGTGCCACATGATATTTTAATATGCAGAGAAAATAAGAGGGCAGAGAGAAAATTCCAGCTTGCAGGGAATGCAAAGTACATTCCACCATTCTGAACACCAATGGTTCATGTGTTCAGAAAAAAAAATTAGTAAAAACAATAATAATAATACCTACAATAGCAACATTAGATCCTTCCAACTTGTATAGTGATTTCAAGTTTCTAAGACGCTTCCACGTATAATTTCATCTGACAAAAGAGATCATTAACATTTTAAAGTGCACAATAGGGTTGCTTGATTTAGCATTGAAAGGACCCAGTTTCCTGAAGAATGAGCATCACGCATGCAGGCTTGTTGAATATTCTATGTAGAGGCAATTGCAGAGCAAGAGTCGAAGTTCTAGTGCTTTCTGTACAAATATGAATGGAAATAGCACTCATTTCTAAAACCCACTGCTGGCTTTGAAGATATATGTACAGAGAAAATTACTGTTCTTATCTTGCTACTGCATTTTAAAAGCATACATTCTCTTTTGTTTATTAATGAAAATATGTTTTTGTTTTATAAATATGAAATTATTCTTGCTATATATATTTTTCGATCACACATACATTTTGAAATTGAATAGTAAACACTTACATAAAAATGTTCCCCTGCCCCTTCTCTACTCCTCTGAGATAATTCCTGAGATCATTTGATATATATCTTTTATCTTTCCAGACTGTGCATTATAAATGTAGGTATGCACATTTGGGTACATATTTGTATATCTGCGGTTGTGTACCAACTACCAGTCAGTCATTTATATTCTCTCTCTCTCTCTCTCTCTCTCTCTCTCTCTCTCTCTCTCCCCTCTCTCTGATTCTTGAATACATGGCTGAATTGATTCTTTTGTAAGGGAACTTCTTAGACACAGGAAATTATGAAGAAGATTGAATCAAGATTTATAAACAAGCATTGAAATCATTGTTTGCTTTAAGGTAGGGGTGTCGAACTCAATCAGAGAAGGGGCCAAAATCTAAAATCCAGCCTAAATCGAGGGCCAAATGGTTTACTGAACAGTCATAAACTGTCATTGTGATGGAAACGCAGCGGAGTGCAGTGATGACAGCGCGGTGCGGGCCACATTGCAAGGCCTGGCGTGACGGATTTGGCCTCCTGCCTTGTGTTTGACACATGTGCTTTAAGGCATTGTCAATCCCAGACGATCTAGACTCTGGAATAGTGATTCTCAACTTGAACACATATCTGAATACCCAGAAGGCTTTTAAATGCACAGATAACTGGGCCCTGCCTCAGAGTTTCTGATGCAGTTGGTCTGGGATGGGGCCCTAGAATTTGTCTTTCTACCAAGTTCCAGGTGATGATGGTGATGCAGAGACATGAATACTCTTTGAGCACCACTAGCTAGAGCTTGGGTTTGAATAAATCACACATGTAAAGCTCAGAAGGGCTACTGCTTTGGTCCTTAATATAGTGGGAAATCTGCCTGTCTCAGTTTATCAGGTTGGAGAGGGGAAAAGTAAGAAAACAAACCACTTTTGATAATTCCTGATCTTATACACACACGAATATGAGTTTAAGGACAAGTAGCAAGCAAAACAAATCCAAAAATCAAACCCTGAGACAATTTTTAGTTTAAGGAGTTCCTAAGTTGGTAGTATCTCCAGGTACCTAAAACAACAAAATGTGAATACCCAACTCAAAAACCTTTCACAAATAAATATGCAGGAAATTTGATAACTAAAAAAGACAAAATATAAAAAGACATAATAATAAGTATGAGTTTGTAAAAACAATAAATGACAATTTTACTTACAAAGATTAGAGATATGTAAATTCCAGATACACATTATTTTAGTAGATATTTTATGTCTCAACTAAAAAAATAACCAGAAAACATAAAAGGGAGACAAAGACACAGAATATCAAGGATACCAGTGCTTTCTCCTGGAAGGACTGATGTTGATTTTCATATTCAGGAATGAAACCCAACATTCAAAATCCCTTAGGTGCAAGACAATTAGACATGCCTGTGAAAAATCATCCTATCTAATAAAAAAGTAATGTGCAAATAGACTGTCACTATAACATACAAGATGGCTGCCCCCATATGGTCAAAGATGGCTTCCCCCATGTGGGCACAAGATGGCCACCACAAGATGGCCAGCAGGGGAGGACAGTTGGGAGAAACCAGACCTGCAGGGGAGGGCAATTAGGGATGACCAGGACTGCAGAGGAGGGCAGTTAAAGGAAACAGGCCAGCAGGGAATCAGTTAGGCATCAATCAGGCTGGCAGGGGAGTGGTTAGGGGGTGATTAGGTTGGCAGGCAGAAGTAGTTAAGGACAATTAGGAAGGCAGACAGGCAGGTGAGCAGTTGGAATCCAGCAGTCCTGGGTCGGGCCTAAACAGGCAACCAGACATCCCTAGAGGGGTAGCAGATTGGTGAGGGTGCATGCTGGGCTGAGGGACACACCCCCGTGCACAAATTTTGTGCACCAGGCCTCTAATTCATAATAAAGCAAACCTTATTCAAAATAAAGAAAGTTTTATTTTAAACTTTCTTACAGCTTTGTATTCTCAATTGGTTCTGAACCCTATGGGGGTGAAGGCAGTCCCACTGCTTATCATATAGAAGCCTGACACTCACACAGATGCTATGCAGTCATGGAGGTGAGCTGCTCAAGATCTTTCGTAAAGGGAATGAAGTTAGCTGACAGCTTCCAGCACCCACACTTTTGGAATTCACTGCAGCAACATATTCGTGCCAAGGCTCCTTTCTCTCCAAGCTGCTTGCAGCCAGGGAATGAGCAAGGGATAGGGGTTCTAAAGCCGAGCATTTCTGCCCTGTGCATGGCTCCTCTGATGACCAACCCTTGATCTGGACCTCCCCAGACTTTCTGTCTGCAATTCAGACTGAGGCTTTTCCTAGCTAATCCTTTTCCCTCCCTTCTCTCCTTCCACCTACTCCTGCTCTCACTCCAACTTTTCCTTATCCTTCACACACTTTCCTTCTATAGCTTTCCTGCACTTCTACTTCATCTTGGCCTCTTCCTCTAGGAAAGCTGACACTGTCAGCATTATTATTCTCTCTATTTCATAGTGAAGCGGTGTTTCAAGGAAGAAAGTAGAATGCATAAGTATGTTACTCTTTTAGAAGGTTATGCTTGCTCTTAGGTTAGAGGATCTTTGAAAAAATGCCTATCAACATTTTATTTATTTATTTATTTATTAAATATATTTTATTGATATTTTACAGAGAGGAAGGGAGAGAGATAGAGAGCCAGAAACGTCGATGAAAGAGAAATATTGACCAGCTGCCTCTTGCACACCCCTCACTGGGGAGGAGCCCACAACCAAGGTACATGCCCTTGACCAGAATCGAACCCGGAACCTTTCAGTCCGCAGACCGACGCTCTACCACTGAGCCAAACTGGTTTCGGCAATTTGTCGTTTTTTATTAAATTGACTAGAGGCCCAGTGCACGAAGATTCCTGCAAGAATATTCCTTTCTTCCTCTGGCTGCTGGCACCACTTTCACTCTGGACTGGAGCCGCCTTTCTGCCTTTGCTCCAGCCTGAGCTGCCTTTCACCTTCCCACGCTGCCCAGAAGCCTAGAGCAAATGGGGCATTCTGCCCCACCCCTGACACCATCTCTGTTGGGTTAATTTGCATACACTCCTGATTGGCTGGTGGGCGTCACAAAGGTATGGTTGATTTGCATATTTCTCTTTTATTAGTGTAGATTGTGGTGACATTGGTCAACATGAACATCTAGGTTTCAATGCCAAAAGATCTGTATATTGTACCATGTGCCCACCAGCCAAGTCAAGTCTTCTCCTCTCACCTACATTTTAAAAAGAAAACTTGAACATCTTTAAAGCAATACTAGTGTTGTAACAGAGACAGCCATTTCTTTATAAAACTGAGTCCGATTGAACCTGCTTATTCAATGCCTGAGTGCAAAGATACATTGGCTTCTAGAAAATGGAAGAAAACTCTAAACACAGAAAGCATTTCCACCACCCATTGCTAGGTCTGATATGGGACTCAGAATCTGTTTGTGAGAAAAACAAACGATCACAATAAGCCAACAGCCATGGTACTGTTCATCATGCATCGGTCTCAACTTCAGCCTCTAAGGATGCCAGAACGCGACCCCCAACTCTGTGCTTGGCAGAAATGAGAAATATAAATCACATCGAGAAAAAACAATTTTTAAAAATGTAGTTTTTACCTTAACAGATTAAACTTAAATTTGATTTTTAAAAAATCTTCTCATTTAGGGAAGAGTAAACATATTAGGAAAAGGAAAAGAAGTGTCCTGTGATTTTTGGACCTTGACAGCAAACATGACAGCATACACATAATTTAAAAAATAAAGAGAATTTTTTTTTTCTGGCAGGATTTATTAGAGAGAAGAGAAGCATGACTTACCCTCGCTAGAGTCTTTGGAACTTTCCGGCTTCTTGGCTTTGCTCTTCTTGTGGGGTGGAGAGAGGACTTTTGGCTCTACTCCTTCTGGAAGCACAAAGATTTGAAACTTTCTTATTTAAATATTTAACAGTAGAGCTCAACATTATGTTAAAGTTTAAAAGTGTTTTCTTCTTTGTAAACCCCCACACACAGTGAGGCCTAATTTCAGATTCATCTGTCATCCTAAAGTTTGTTGATTCTCCTATGAAAATAGACTTACACTTAAGTTCAAGCTTATTTTTGTTGTTGTTGACATCATTAATGATTCATACAAATATGAAATCTTAAGTGCTGTTTTTAAAATTAAAATTTCTCTTTAAGGCAACCTCAACTTATTTTTTTCCCCAGGAGAATTTGATTTAAAACTTTATAGATTAATTAATTGACAGTTGGAATTGTGCATTTTCATCCACAATTTTTCTTTTATGTCTGCAAACATATTCTCCCCATAGTGCATTTGAAGGAATACTATTGGAATCTACCCAGGAATTAAATTAAAAAACAAAGCAAAACAAAACAAAACAAAACCCTGAGATATCCTTAATATTTCTCTTCATTTTTTTTTCTAGTAAAGCAACTGTAAGTTCTATAATAAGTCCTATCAGTTCTGCTCCAAAATATATCTGACATTCAACCATTGTACTCATCCTTTGCAATCATTATCCCAGTCCAGGCTACCAATTCTCTTACCTGAGATAATACAATAACCTTCTGAATTCTAACTTATAGCTTTAAGTATTCCTACAATCTACCACTCTCCATATAGTAGCCAGAATTGTCTTTAAAACACAAACCGGATCTTCTTGCTTGCCTGTTAAAAAACAAACAAACATTCCTCTTAGACTAAGATCTAAATCTAATTTTGTAGCCCAAGACAATACGCCATTTGGGTTCTTTCTAGCACCCTAGCTTCATCTCCCCTTTGCTCTTTGGCTTCAGATTATTGGCTCCCTTTGTGTTATTCATTGACTACTAGGCTGGCTTGTGCCTCAGGACATTTGCACCTTCTGTCCTTCTCTAATTCCCCCCTACACACACACACACACACACACACATACACACACACACACTCATATGTACCTTCTTCTTACTTTTTTTTTTTAATCCTCACTACGTATAAGATTTTTTTTTTCACTGTTTTTTTTAGAGAGAGTGGAAGAGAGAAGGAAAGACAGAGAGAAACATTAATGTGAGAGAAACACATTGATTGGTTGCCTTTGCATGAACCCTGACCAGGGCCCGGGTTGGGTAGAAGCCTACAACCTAGGTATGTGCAGCTGACTGGAATCAAAACCAGGGCCCTTCAGTCTGCAGGCTGATGCTCTACCCACTGAGCAAAACCAGCTAGGGCTAACTTCTTACATTTTAATCTCAGATCAAATTCAGCTCCCAATAAAGGCTTTCCTTGACCATCTAATGTGAAGAATTTCTGCAAGGGAAATCTTTCTGAAGCACATAATTTGGTGTATTTGAAAAAATCTTGTCCCCTTGTCTATTTCTTTATTGTGTGTCTCTCTCCTCTACCCCACATGTGAGAATGTAAGTCGAAGGAGAAAAAAGTATCTTTCCTAATCTTTCTTGTGTCCCTGCTGCCTCACTGTGCCTTGAGAATTTCATTTCAAATTCTGTTTTATTTTCCCCTCTTCAGGCCTTTTTTTAAAAGGCCAAGATAGAATGGTGCCCATGCCCAATTTTCATTCTTAGCAGCTGTGGCCTTACACCAGGGTTCTAAAATTACATGACATGGCTATGGCGACTCACTTTTCCTTTCCTATTTGTTAAAAGAGGAAGTTAACAAAAATGCACTTGCTGGATATGCTACTAAAAATCAGGAGATCATTACCACAGGCAGAGTGAAGCATTTTGCCAATACTAAATTAGTACTCCCCTCCTCCCAGACTTCTGTCACTAGGTGTTAGATTGGCATTTACCCTTCAGAATTGGTTCAGTCAAACAAGAATTGAGATACTTGGCACAGTTCACAGAGCACAGATTCTGGGCTCCAAGGGATTCATAAAATGGGCAAAACAACACACCCTGGGAGTAGACTCGAAGCCTTCTGTGTCCCTGAAATTCATGGTCCAAGAAGAGTATTTCCAGTGTTTGGAATAGAAATTCAAACCAGCATTTTATGAAAGTGGGTGTTTGAGAATTAATTCTTAATTTTAAAATATATATTTTATTGATTTTTTTTTACAGAGAAGAAGGGAGAAAGATAGATAATTGGAAACATCGATGAGAGATAAACATCAATCAGCTGCCTCCTGCACTCTCCACACTGGGTATGTGCCCGCAACCAAGGTATATGCCCTTGACCAGAATCAAACCTGGGACCCTTGAATCTGCAGGCTGATGCTCTACCCACGGAGCCAAACCGGTTAGGACTAAATTCTTAATTTTTGATTTCCCACCTGAATGGGAATTCCCACCTGAGTTAGATTTAAAAAGACAACTATTTGCTCTCATTTTGAGATTTTAATATTCCCCAAAGTACTACTACTTCATTGTTGAAAAAGTTGTAGGGCACTCCTCAGGTAGTCCATGGGCATGGATACATGCTAAGCATGAACATAATCATCTATGACATTAGTACAGTGTCATTTCATAACCCCTGTGGAGCAACTCACATGAAAGCCACTGGCACATATGGCCTCTATGCTCAGGTTCCTCTTGTGGCTCTGCAGGAACCACTCTCCCTCTTGGCCTGGGAAGCTAAAAAATGTTTCTAAAAAGCACCCCATGCTTCTCCTTGACAGTGTATTACATTATGTATGCTATCTCTGATTTTGGCAGAGAATGGAAACCTGGATGTTTGCCATGAGCTTGGCTTTGCTACTTGAGGAACTCATCTCTGTTCCTGGCTCTCATGTGGCTGAAATGGCATGGGTGGCTGCTGGTTTTCTGTCCCTGCTGGCTCAGTTTGGGAACAATGCATGGTCGTGGAATTGGAAGGACCTAGGAAAACATTTACTGGGCTAGTATTATAGAAATATTAAAGGACTTAAAATAAATCATAGGCATTTAAGCCAGTCTGTTTCTACCATTTCCCATGGGGGCAGAGCCTCATCTTGAGGATGACCTAGTTTGACATCATCTGGGATGTTCCTGCCTCTACTTATTATTATAGTCTGGAGACAGGAGCACACAATTAAGAATATGAGTTTTGAGATCAGATACAACTAAATTCTGCTTCTAGTGTTTAAGCAAGGAACTAATCCTTCTTAACCCTCAGTAATAACATTTCTGGCCTCCTAGAGTTGTTGCTTATTTTAAATGAGTTCATGTATGTTGATGGATTGGCACAAGGTACATGTTCAATTAAAATATGACTCAGCAGAGGTATGCTGGGGTTGACTTGAGCCAGCTTATTGTATGCATCTCTCCTTCACTTTGATAGCCATCCACCTCATCATGTTTGGTAGATTTAGCAATATCACAGTAGGTTTATTTACATTACAGAATCTACAAACTCTTCATATTGGGGTTTCTTCCACCCAGAAAGTCAGTTTCCCAGTGCCTCACTGGTTTTTGGTATTCGAATTATTGTTCACTATAATCTACTAGCATTTGTTGGCTGGTTGCTTCACCCACATAGCCTATCATTTTCATTAATTCCAATCTTAAAAATCCCTCCAGCATTTCTACTTATATGAGAAGAAGAGATGATGCACGGTAGAGGGGAAGCAGCAGTGAATGGTCTTGGGAAACTTGTTCAGACCCATCTTGGAGAGCAACATGCCCAAATGTGTGAACTAAACTGAAGCCAACCTGTTCACCAGTGTCTGGCAAGCCCAGCTGGCATACCATGGAACCATCCAGCACAGAAATCACCCATGATTTCAGCAATCATAGATATTAGAAAATGGAGAGCAGCTTCCAAAGTCCATTCTGCCTGCATCCTCCAGCCATTGAATGTAACTTGAACAGCTGCATCTAGCTGCTGGAGACAAAACCCCCAGGAAACATGGTGGGACTAAAATCAGACGTGGTGATCTAATTAAGGACTCCAAACTGCAAGTGCTGACTCCATCCTCCTGGGCTCTGCATTAGCATTAATAATGAGTTCCTCCAAATCACTCAGTGGTTTGGATAGTTATCTGCATCCCATTAAGAAGACAACTCCCTTTGCCTAGAAATGTATGTTTATGGCATTTAGGCAAATGATCCTTAGCAAGTTAAGGCCTTTATGCTGGCTAGCTAATAAGGCAATACTCCCTTGCTGAGAATGTTGAAGGATTTTCCAAGGATACTTTATGTGGGCAGGCTAAATGAGAATAGCAAATATTAACATTAAATTCATGGAATGCAATCCAAGAAAAGGTGATCACTTAAAGTCATTTTTTAGCATACATTGTTACCGCCCCCCCCCCCTTTTTTAAAAATAATGATAATGAGACATCCTGCATGGGTATATTAATTGACATTTTAATTTAAATTTTATCTTGGCCTTTGTGTTTTACAAAAGGCAAGCAGAGTCTTGTTTTACTTTAGATTGTCTCAGAAATAAATACTGAGAAAAAGGTTTGAATGTCTAGTACTTAATTTGAGAGATTATACCAGAGAACGGGAGTAGGGAAGTGAAACAGAAAAGGGAAGGCAGCCAACACTGGGTGTGCTAATGAGCAAGTTCCACAGTAAACAGTCAGGGCTTGGTTCTCCTGGGGACCTCTGGGCAACAATATAGAATGTTACTGTCCAACACCACATACTGCCCAGGAGTACCTGAAAGATCGCCAGTCTGAATTGAGATGTGAATGTAAAATGCAAACAAATTTCAAAAACATACCTAAGATGAAAAGAAGTAAAATATCTGACTAATAATTTTTATATTGTTTATATATTGAAATTTTGTTTTATATATATGATGTTACATAAATCTTATTAAAATATTATTCAATTAAATCCTCTTTTTTTCATTTTTTTTTTCAATGTGACTACTAGAAAATCTGAAATTATACCTGAGGCTCACATTTGAGGCTCACATTATATTTCTACTGAACAGTGCTGGAGAAGAACATGCCTCTGATGTGTCCTGCAGGGGAACTGATCAACTCATGTCTATCCTTGATTGAGGGTTGCTCCAGAGAAATTAATCTCCTGGTATTGTGAGTTGGCTTCATGACTAGAGAAAAGCACACAGCTGAGAGTCTCAAGAACTCTCCTCAGAAAGCTGTTTAAGTTGGAAAGTGACAGTGAGTGTCAAGAGGACACAGGTAGGAAATGTGACAACTGCTGCTACCATCCCCCATCCACCTAGTTCACTCCTGTTCCTGAAATCTAGACCATTCCTCTGCTTCTAGGACCCTCTGAATATTACCCTGATGAGACCAAGGGAACTTTAGAAATTAGATGTGTTCAGACTAAAGAACAATAGATAGAAGCAATGATCAATGTTCCCATGAACTATTATGAAGAAAAGGAACTGGTGTTATTTCTCCAGGAAGATAGGGAGAGATCAGGGAAGGGAAGTAAATTTGATTTAACAAGGAGAAGGACAATTTTAACCAAACTTTACCTAATGAGATTAAAGAGTTCCCTGTAGAGCTGCTCAGACTAAGGTTGTCAGTTACTTGTAGGCAGTTATGAAATTGGATAGGAAGTTACACAAAAATTAGGATCTTTAAGATATCTATTTTCATTTTGAAATCTGGATTTAATTCATGCCTTGAGTAAGGTAGCCATTGAAATCGGGAACTTATACCATAGACTTAAGTCCTATACCCCTGAGTATTTGTTAGAATGGCATAGAGAAAAGTAAGAATTTATTGAGTGTTTATTATCCTCCAAGACACATTTTGAATTTGATATAATTTAATCCCTCAAGTAAGACTATATGGTGAGTTATTGCCCCTAGATGTATAAACTGAGATTATAGAGAAAAGACTATTGCCCAAAGTAAAAAACTGATGGAACCAGAATTGAATTCAGGCTTGATAATTCATACATTCATTATCAGGCATAGATTGCATGGCTACTTCAGTCTAGAGCCTATGCTTTTAGCCACTAGATTTCTCTCATCAAACACTAGTCTTTCTGGAGGAGTTAGCAGGCATCTTAATTTCTAAAACTGAGAGCAATATATTAGATGTACAAAATGTATTTTCCAAAAATGCCCACAGTAACATTGCAGATCCTACATGCTTTGTAGAACCTCACTGCTCCTCATCAAGAGACTGAGTCTATTTTCCCTTTCTCTAAGCCTAGGTGAGTTGACTGACTGTTATGAAGAAAGTTCCGTAGAAGTGATGCTATAGTACCCTTGACGCTGAGTTCTATAAAGGGCTAAGCTCCCTCTGGCTTGCTCACTTTCTCTATAAACCACTTTGAAACCTGGCAGCCATGATATGAGACTGCCCAACCAATATAAAGAGACCATGCATAGGTATTTCAGAAAACTGACCCAACTAAAATTTCAGCTGATAGCCAATATTAATCACCAGCCAAGCATGTGCATGAGGGAATCTTCAGAAGATTTCAGCCCAGAGATGTTGAGTTTTTCTGCTGAGGCAGGCCTCAGGACTATGAAAGAGGTTTACCAAGTCACTCTTGCTATGTTCTGTCTGAATTATTGGTCCACAGAATATATGGGCACAATGAGTGGGTGTTTTAGCCACTAAGTTTTGGGGGTGACTTGTTATACAACTCTATTAACTACAACCTTATGTTTCATTTTTACCTTAAATGTCAGGAATCTCAAACTAAAATTTAATGCTGAAATATAGTATCTTCTATTAGCCATAAGAGTTACCTAACAAAACTAATTTATCTTATGACCTTGAACAAACATTTCATTAACCTTATTTTGTCTTTTCTTAAAAAAAGTAAAATGTACATAATCAATAGAATAATCTTTTCCCTTACTCTAAGAATAAATTCATAAATTTAATACCTGAATCTTCCTTCATGTCAACATCTTCTTCTTCATTATCACCTATTAAACAAATAAACGATAAAGAAAATTTCATATGAAACCCAGAAGCACTTGAATTCTCCAATTGATTAATTTTTTAAAAAGAAAAAAAAAACATAGTAGAAAAGAGAATGATATCAGTATCATATGATCTCACTCATATGTGGAATCTAATGAACAAAATGAATAGATGAACAAAATGGATCCAGAGATATATAAGCATGGAACAGACTGACAAATATCAGAGGGAAGGTGGGGGAGGGTGGGTGATGAAATCAACCAAAGAACTTATATGCATACATGCATAACCCATGGACACAGACAATAGGGTGGTGAAGGCTTGACAGGGGGTGGGATGGAGAGAGTCCATGGGGGGAAAAGGTGACATATGTAATAATTTCAACAATAAAGATTAAAAAAAACCACCACACTACCCAAACTCTACCTTAGAAACATACACGTTTATTCTAATCAATCATTACAACATGCAAAAATTATGTTTGTATAACTAACTGAGAATGCTAAAAACTATGACAGTTTAATTTTGGTTATTTGTGGAATTACATCTATATTTGGTATTTTGCTTTTAATTAAATATTTTAGCAATGTATATGTAATAAATAATTTATTACTATCCCTTTCCAATATGCATTATTCTGTTTAAAAAAAGGAAAAGAGAATGATAATTCATGCATTTATACTCTTATATTATCAGGTAAATTAGAAAGAAAGTACACACATTAGAGCACGTGGAGTTAATATTTATTTTAAAAATTGTCATATATTTATAACAAGCTAATATGCAATAATTTATTTTTGTTATAAAAGTTATGCATGCTCAACTGAAATAATTCCTAAAAAATAAAACTCACACTTTAAAATACTACCTTTTCTGCATTTAGTAAAGACATCCATGCTCACCTCAAATATCTGAGAAATATGGGCATCACCACTTGGTTGTAGGTAAACATAGTGACTGATCCCTGACTGTTAAACATCTAAATCCCCACCTTTAACTGTGTGCTCTCACATGCCCCACCAGTTTTCCACTCCCATTTAACCCCTCCTCTCAGTGCCCAGTGCAACCCCCTTAAACTGGATAAGGACATGTGCTTCCTCTGTACTCTAGATTACATATTTTCTGTTTTGAACTTTTGTGTTGTTCTTACATCTAGTCTGCCAAATAATGCTCATTTCCATGTTTCCTCCTTTCAAGTCACATACTGCAATTGAAATCTAGACTATTAGTGCCATTTGCTCTACTTTTACTATGATTTCCAAGCTGGTCTTCTGTTCTTGCCACTCCTGGCTCCAATTCCTTTAACATGTAGCTGCCAAATCCATCTTAAAATACAGTTCTGATCTGGTTCACAACCTTTCAGTGCCTCTTTTTTTGTCAAATGAGAAAAATCTAGGCTTTTTGGGGTAACACTCAAGGCTGCTTCCAACCAGTTTTCTCAATTTCACTGCTCCCGTTCCACTCATGCTGTCACCTACATACTTGACAACACCTGGATCTTCTTTATTTTCTCAGGGACTCCTTTAGCTTCCTTTACCTGCCTCATCGCAGAAGCAAGGGTCTGCTCCATTTCTCCACTCTCACCCTTCAAGGCCAAGGCTGAGCTGTCATAACATTTGCTCAAACCAAGTTTGAATAAATAATACTATCTTTCACATATCTTATTTTTATTGTTGTCAACATATGAAAGTTAAGAACCTTTGGGTTTAGGTCTGCATACCCACCCATTCTCTAGGCATGTGATCTTAGAGAAGTTGCCAAACCTTCCTGAGGTTCAGGTTCATCAGCCAGAAAGTGGGAAATAATACTGCCTCCTTTATAGAGCTGTAAGAATTCAATGAGATAATGCCACATAAAGCATTAGGGCTGCTACTGAAACATTATCAAGTGCCAAATATTAGCTATTATTACCATCAAATTATACAGTTACTAGTTAATATATCTATCTTCTAAATGTTCATCTCTATATCATAAATTCTGCAAAGGTAAAGATCATGTGTTATGTCTTTTTCTATTCTGTAACACCTAATATAATTAATTTTATATACTAGAATCAATAAAGAAATTTTCACTGGATTAAATTTCTGTTATTTCTCCTATGTTGCTCCTATGTATTAGGACAAGATGTATCTATGTGATGGTCGGAAAACAATGAGGACACAGTAAGACTTGCAACTTCCTTCTGGCTGTGTTTATAACATAGTAATTTTTAGCCAAATTTATTCAATATGACACTCTTCTTGTGTTAATTATAAATAAAGATTAGAGGTATTTTAGTCAGTGGAAATGGAAAGTGTACTTAATTTGAGGTTTTAGAAAGATAATTAATGATAACCATCATTAGCTTTTAAAAAAGTAAATCTTTCATTCAGCTATTGGAAACATTATTGATTTTCTATACAATTTCTTTTTTTAATTCTTTCTATGAATACAGTTTTGGGAGAAAGAATACCTATTTCTTAGAAATATAATTTTCTAACTAAATGATTATAAAAATGTTATAAAGAAAACTCTTCACAGATTCTTCCCTGAAATTAATATATTTTCACAGAACTCTGTTTTCAGAGTCATCTAAAATCTCTATGACGACAGACTCCCTGGAATCTCAGAGTGGGGTGAGAAAGAGTCTCTTCAGTTTCTAGGAAAAGATAATGGAAGAGTCCGATATTTGTTTGCTTGTCACCCATGTATCCTATAGTCTACCTGGAAAACACTCATTGGTGGTTTATTGTGTGCAAGGCTTTGTGCTTGTGGAAACAAAAAACACCGTGATGAATCAGACGCAAGTAGTTGTCCAGAAATTTATTATTAGTAAGGAAACTAGAATATGAAGATACATTTGAACACATGGTAGAGAGTTGTCAGTGCCCGTATGAAAGGTGTCAGAGAAGGGATATAAGCTTCTAGTGGACTACTTGGAAGGGTTCTTAGAAAACATGACATCAGAGCAAATATTTCGACTTTAGAGACTGTACTAATAGCATCATCCCCAGAATTAGCCCACTGTGCTGAAGGATCAGATTTGGTGTTTTCATTCATTCATTCATTCTAGTCATTCACTAATTTATTCATATAGTAGTTAAGAATCCTACCTAATAAAAGAGTAATGTGCAAATTAACCATCATTCTGCTCCACAAGCCACACCCACAAGTCAATCAGAGCAAGTATGCAAATAAATCCAACTAAGATGGCTACAGCCACAGAGAACAGGAGGGAGGCGTTTCCCTGGCAATAGAAAAAGCCAAGCTTTCTGCCTGCCCTTGCTGGTCTAAGCCTCCACTCAAAGCTATCAAGTTTCAATTATAGAAGGTAAACAAATCCAAACAGAAACAGCTGCTGCCACTGAGCAAGCAGGAGGTTTGGCTCTGCTCTAGGCTACAAACTTTCAATTGTAGAAAGTAAATATATCCCAGATACCAGGGCCTCTGCTTGGGTCACTGGGGAGTGTGGCTGGCCTGCAAAACACCACAGACCCCTCGCCCAGGCCTCCCCACACCAAAAGGGAACCCCCACCCTGATCCAGGACACCCTTCAGGGCAAACCAGCTGGCCCCCACTCATGCACCAAGCCTCTATCCTATCTAATAAAATAGTAATATACAGATTGACCATCACTCCAACACACAAGATGGCTGCCCCCATGTGGTCAAAGATCCTGCCTCCATGTGGACACAAGATGGCCACCACAAGATGGCCAGCAGAGGAGGGCAGTTGGGAGGAACCAGGCCTGCAATGGGGGGGCAGTTGTGGGTGATCAGACCAGCAGGGGAGGGAAGTTGGGGGTGATCAATCCTGCAGTGGAGGGCAGTTAGGAGTGGCCAGGCTGGCAGAGGAGGAAAGTTGGGGACAAATTGGCAGGAGAGCAGTTATACATCAATCTGGCTTTCAGGGGAGTGGTTAGGGGGTGATCAGACTGGCAGGCAGAAGCAGTTATGGGCAATCAGGAAGGCAGGCAGGCGAGCAGTTGGGAGTCAGCAGTCCTGGATTGTGAGAAGGATGTCCAACTGCTGGGCCTAAATGGGCAGTTGGATATCCCTGGAGGGATCCTAGATTGGAGAGGGTATAGGCTGAGCTGAGGGACACCCTCCCCCCAATCCCCATGCACAAATTTTGTGCACTGGACCCCTAGTATTGATATATCCAGGATCTGGACTCAGAATATTTGGACTTACTTCCAAGCCCAACTATCAATAGCTGTATAATCTTGGGCAAATTCTGTGAACCTATATACCTTAGCTCCTCATATGGAAATAGGCATAATAAAGGTAACAATATTCTAGAGTTGGTAATATATGTGCAATGTTTACACAGAATGAACATTCAATAAATACTGGCTTTCACTATCAGGATGTCATTACTATACTACTTTTACTATTTAAATAACCAGTTATGGGCCAATATCACATGCCAGAACACTGCAATGCCCTGGAGAAATGGGTTTACAATTTCTTCCTTCAAAGAGCTCCCAACGAAGTGGGTGATACAGAAAATTAAAATAATAATCAGAAGAGAAACTAACAGTCTCTGGTGCAGGTATGCAGAGATCTACTGAGAAACAGACTTTTGGCCACTAAGTCAGAGAGAAAGCCCATGAAGGCTTTACAGAAGAGGTGAAGCTTAAGCAGAATCCCAAAGGGTGAGAATTAGCTAGGGGGAAAAGGGCTGCTATAGATTCCCAGTAAATGTGGATGCTCTGCCTACTCCTCTTTGTTCCTTGATGCTTCAGTGATTTCCAGTCTGACATTCAGCCACCAGCCCCTGGGTCTCTTTGCCTGAGGGTTTTGTCTGGTTTGCTTGAGCCCACTCAAGAAATATAAGGGAATTTTCACATATGAGAGGGCATCCTATATAATAAAAGCCCAATATGTAAACTCACCTCAACCGGGAGTTCAACGGGGAGTAAGACCACTTGCTATGACATGTGCTGACAACCAGGGGGCAGTGTGCAACATGGCAGTGTCCAACATGGCAACAAAGTGCTGGCAGTGGGTAGAAGTGGAGG